TAAATCAATAACTTAAAATTGTAATTAATAGAGTGACCAGGACAAGCATAGAGCACATGGGAAAGCCAAAATATGGGGAGTCAAAATGCAACCACAATGGTGATGAAGACACATCCCCACACACACCTTGGATATGTATCTTGTTGGCTGATATATTGAGGTGAAAATTACACAGAGGAAGATATCAAAGTTTAAATTGTCAACCAAATTGAAGTCATCCATCTAGCTCTTCCTATGACACCATCTTTACACAAAACACGCCTGCTGTTCTGCTGTCTGCAGAGGGAACTGCGAGGATATACCTGCCATAGCTCTGTAACTTCATCCTCACACATTTCTTTCTTCTCTCAACTTTGCTCTCCTTAATCAATTTACTTTCACTCACAAAGGGTTGGGGAGCATTCTCTTGGTCAGATAGCTATCATTGTAGAGGAAGGGTAATTAAACGACTCAGTGGAGCTCTGTCAGCTGTGATGTGAACTCCATACTCACATGCTCTCGATCGTCTACCTCTGCACGACTGGCCCGAGCATCTACACATGATGCTCAGAGTTTTCCTTTACTCAGATCCAGGTGAGTCCTTGAGAGCTGAACACCTTGTCCATCTGCCTGTCTTCTACAGATGCCATCTTCTGAAGCAGAAACTCACTCCTGGATCCTGCCTGTCTTGGCTTTCTTAACACTTCATTTTCTTAGGAGACGGCCAGACAAGCAGTCACTGGGGAGGTACTGACTGCCAGGACACCATTTCCATGCAAGATCAGTTCTCATTTTAATTTGCTTTAAAGGTGAGAAGTTGAGCCCAACTACAGAGACATGGACTAGCAAGGTGCATTGCCATCCCACCTCCAGTGGTCTGTCAAAAAATAAATAAATAAAAATAAAACACACACACACACACACACACACACACACACACACACACACACACACACACGGCATCAAATATAATGTGTGAATCTCAGGGAAGGGAAGCAGTTGAGTCATACATAGGTTTTCTAGTACCACATTTTAAAATACTTTATTATATTTTGAGAATTCCTTACAATGTATTTTGATAATATTCACCCCCAGCTTCTCCCAGATCCAACCCACCTCTCTATGAACCCATAGATATAATAGAACAAAATAGACTAGAATAAAAATAGGACTCTATGTATTCTCTTTTTAATTATATTTTAAAAAACTCATCAGGAACCCATTAAGTCTAATTTGTGTTTGTCAAATACTCCTGGGCGTGGGACCCACTCTGGAGCATAGTCGATCTATTATGGGTCACATCCTCAAAGAAAACTGGCTCTTCCGCTCTCAGCAGGTATTAAATACCAAAAGATCCCCAGCTGGGGGTGGGCTTCATGTAAGATTTTGTCTGGCGTGAGCTGTGTACGTCTTGCACATACTGTCGCAGTTGCTGTGAGCTCATGCGTGACTACCCTATTTCAGCTGGAGGACACCATTGCCTTGTCGTCATCCACTGCCTCTGGCTCTTACAGTCTTTACACCCATCTGATTCTATGTTTTTAAATGAAAAGAAGGGAAGGAAGGAAGAAAGGAGGGAAGGAAGGTAGGCAGGAAGGAAGGCAGGCAGGCAGGAAGGAAGGAAGGAAGGTAGGCAGGAAGGAAGGCAGGCAGGAAGGAAGGAAGGAAGGAAGGAAGGAAGGAAGGAAGGAAGGAAGGCAAGAAGGCAGGTAGGCAGGCAGGAAGGATGAAAGGCAGGAAGGAAGGAAGGCAGGAAAGAAGGAAGGCAGGCAGGAAGGAAGGAAGGCAGGGAGGAAGGAAAAAAGGAAGGAAGGAAGAAACAGATGTGCAGCAGCTGGAAAGAAACTTGGACTTGATTTTAATTCTTTTCTCCTGAGGCAGCTGGAGGTGAAGTAGAGCTGGGGTTAGGACAGAGGGAGACTTATTCAGAAAACTTTCCCCAGGCAGAGGATGGGCATAGCTAGTGTCTCTTGGCAGGAGCCAAGTATTGCACATTTGACAATTTCCAGTCAACAGTTCTTTCTCATAACTTCCCCCAGTTTTTGTGATCTGATTTAACAATCATGGTTTCAGCAAGGATGCTTGTGACAAGGAGTAGAATATAGGAGGGCCTCAGGAAGCCCCAGGTCAGAGGGCTGCTGGACCCCTCTCTCCCAAGGGAAGCTGGAAACTGGAGAGCTGATTTTTTTTGTTGTTGTTGTTTTTGTTTTTTGAGACAGGGTTTCTTTTGTGTAGCTTTAGAGCCTGTCCCAGATCTCACTCTGGAGACCAGGCTAGCCTCGAACTCACAGAGATCTGCCTGTCTCTGCCTCCCAAGTGTTGGGATTAAAGGCGTGCACCACTACTGCCCGGCTTCTTCTTCTTCTTTTTTAATCTTATTTGAATATGTTTATGTTCACAGCATGCAACTTTTTTTCCCCACAAGGTGTTGGAATTGTCAGTCATGAGTGGCATCTAAATGCAGTTATGTTAATTACCACATGGCTTTAAGTATCATTTTTTGTGTGCTTTTTAACTTTCTTTTTATTTATTCTTTGTGTCTTTCACATCATGTGTCTCCATCTCATTCATTTTCCCATTCTTTCCTATCTGCCCTCTACTCCCCCCCAAAAAAAAAATAAAATTTAAGAGAAAAAAAAAGAAGAAGAAAAAGAAAACAGAGAAGGAAAAAATCAACCTCATCGTGGAAGCTGCAGTGAGGTATGCCGAAAACCCTTTTATCCATATATCTTCACTTGCAAGTGTTCATTTCATAAAGTCATTGGTCTGGTTCTAGGCCTCTGGTTTCTGCTACACTATTGATGTTGGCCCTCACTGGAACTCCTCTTGTTTATCCTGCTGTTGCCCTGTGTTGTGGAGATCCTACAGCTTTGGGTCTGCAGGAATGGTCCCTTCACATGCTCCAGCAGATCATAGATGGTGTGGATATTGGGGTGGGCCAATTCATAACCCTGTTTCTGGGCCTGGGTAGTTGCAGGATTGGTCAGCCTGCCAAGAGAGTTGATTCTTTTACTCCTTAGCCTCCAGGCTTGGCTTTTGTTGTACAGTTTGGAAGCCCTGCCCCACCCCTGATCATCCCAAGAAACTCAGTTGCTGCTTTCAACTGCTTTCAGCTGTTACATGACTGTAACAGCTGAGGAGTGTACTGACCTGGCTGCTCTAGCTCCCCAGAGTTGGCTCAGCCATTCAGTCCAATTCCAGACAAAGGAAGTCTGGGAGTCACTTCTCAGCCATCTGTTTTGGATCCGCTATCCAATGGACTTCTGATATCAAAAGGATTGTCAGCCCTAGAACCATATGACTTACTGGCTCACACTGCCATATGACTTCTCTTAGCATGTGGCCTCAGGAAATGCCCTAATTCATACCTACAGGTCATCTGGAATAGTAGGACTTTTTTTAATAAGGAACCAAGACTGACAATTCAGGCTTTGAATTTACATTGCACTGAAGGAGTCTCACTACAATTATCTTACACTATAGGATGAATGACCGGTACGTTGCATTCTATTTAGAAGTGTTCAGTCATTACTCAGCCATTGGGCCCCTAATGTGGTCACCCTGCTGGGTATGAGGTCTGCAAGAATACTGTCAGTGACAGGAGGAAGAAAGTTGATTGAAATATGAGCTCGTTTGGAAAAAAATTCTAAAAGAAGAAAAGGATATGTTGGGGCTTGTGGGGAACATAACTACTGCTTATTTACCAATTCTGTCAATAGAGATCTTCTCAAACTCCTCCCTGGAACTGAAAAAACCCAAGGCTTAGCTGCTGACTCTCTAGCTTGGATGGAGAAGGCATTCTTTCCCTATAGGAGAAAAAAATGGAATGAAATTTCAACTAGTATCTGGGCTCAAAAAGTAGCTCTGGTGCTGGGAGGTGGTTCATCCAGTAGGAGCTCGAGCATGAGGACCTGTCCAATGTCCAGAACCTACATGAAAAGCCAAGTGTGGTTGCACAAGCTTGTGACATCGGTGCTGGGGGATGGGGAGACGGGTGTGTGTGTGTGTGTGTGTGTGTGTGTGTGTGTGTGTGTGTGTGTCTTGTTGGCTGACAGGAAGCTCCACGTTTAGTAAGAGATCCTGTCTCCTCAAGGTTGAGGAGTAAGGTGGATAATGATAGAGCAGGACACTGAGTGAAGTCATTCTCTGGCTTCTGCGTGCACACACACACACACACACACACACACACACACACACACACACACCATAGGGGTACTGCAGCTGCTGTTCAGGCAGACTGGTGATGAGTTGTTGAATAAGGAAGTCTGAAAGGGTCAGGTGGGAAGTTGTGGGACCGTGGGAAGCTTAAGGTGGACGGCAAGGTAGCCCTTCCTTAAAGGCCCGGCTAGCTCTCCTGTTTCTTTACAGCTTAGCATCGCGCTAGAGCACCTACCACTCAGTGGTGGCAGTGCCTACCTCCCTCAACTATGGTTCCAGGCAGCACATCTTTATTTGTTTCGTTATAGGAAATCAGGGCTAAGGATCAACCATAGGGGCATCTTGTATCTTAACATTTGGAATTTCAGTGTGGGCTTATGGCACAATTTCCCTTGGAGAACCTTAGGAGGAGACTTGATTAAAGATGTAGGACTGGATTCTGCTGGGGAGGAGCTTGAACGCCATTCCAAGAATCTCATGACCATCCCGGGAGCTTAGTTTGTCCCAAGGATATGGCTCAGCCTCTAAACAATAAGCAACCATTATATACTAATCAGGAGGTCCCAGTGACTGCTGCCTTCCATGGGGATGTTGTTTTGATTAGAGAGGTAGATGCGATTGCTCTCCTTCAGCTGAAAGTCGAAAAGAAATTTGGAAGTGTCCTGACCCCAGAAAATACAGAACCAGAAAACCAGGGCCATTAGTTAGGAAAGTGTGTCATCAAGGTGTATATCTTGGCCAAGTTCCTGCAGCCAACTCCAATGCCAAGCCCCGCTTCCCAGCTTCCCGTTGGTGGCTGCGGAAGAGGAAAATAAGTTGCCATTAAGAGGCCAAGATGGCAGGGGAGTGCACAGGGGGAGGCACATCAAAGCGGGGAGAGGTGAAGTACTCCCAGGTGCTCTATTTTAATCGTTACATTTAAAGGGATCCTGTTCACTAAGACTTTTCTTTGCTTGGGGTGGATGCTCAGTGTGAGTGGGAAGGCGCGCCCCTGTGGCTTCCGAGGCTCAACCTTCTGTGAGGAAGAAGGAAATCAGGCGCCTCCTCCGCACTCCCCATCTCTCAGGGCACAGGGCTGCCCCAAGGCTTTCCTGAGCCCGCCAGGCTGGAGGGCTACGTGGGACGAGCTCCGGACCAGGTGCAGCTGGGGACGCTGGTGGATCCCCTTTAGAGTCCAGGTAGCAAGCCCCGCAGAACCGCCGCGGCCCTTCCAGAAATCTCTGCATCGGTGCTACCAGCACCGGCAGCGTTCGGCTCAGAGAGTCCCACGCTGGGCAGGAAGAGGGGCTCCGCAACCCATCCTTAGCTCTAGGTGGAGCAGGTGGCGAGCAGCCACGGAGCCCCGGCAGGCGCGGGCCGGTGGGCATCCTCCTCTGCGCACACCCCACGCGATTTCAGGGGGCTGAGTGGCCGCGGATCTTGGCGGCCGGCCGTGCGGTGTGCTCCGCTCAGCCCGGGTGCGTTCAACGTCACACAGGAGCTGCTCCGCTGGGGTCACCGGACGCCTTTTCTGCTTTCCGGGATCCACAGGCTGAGCGAGCGAGCCAAAGCCATCTGCACGCCCCGCTCCTATAAATAGCGCTCGGGTGCCCTCTCGGCGCTGTCCCTCCAGCCTGCGCTGCGCGCCAAGACACAAAGTTGTACGCAGGGACACAGGAACCCAGGGCAGCAGGCGCCCTGCACCTTAGAACTGATTCCGAAATTTGGTGCTTTCTGCGTGGGGGCCTGGATTGAGCCGCCTACCTGCGTCGGAGTGACACCGGGCTTTGGGGGAATTTTTGACCAAGCCCAAGTGTGAGTCGCTAGCATTCTGTCCATGAACACAACCTGGTGTTCTTCTCATCCCCGGAAACACCTCCTGCCTCTGTAATTTGTTCCTGCGCCAGCCAGAGTCCCTCGGACAGGACCGACACCCACACCGCTTGGCACCCGCCACCCTGGCGTTTCCTCGCTGAGTCCTGTCTTCAGCTCTGTGCTTCACCCGGGAGTACTTGGGTTTGGGGTGAGAATTTATTTTGTTCCTTTGAGGTGTGATCGAGAGGGTCTGGAGACTTTTTAGATGTCAAGGGACAAGTGTGGCTGCAGGAGCCCCAGGCAAAACTGATTTTGGGGCGGAGGACATTAGAGTAGGGAGTTCTGCATGAGCTGCTTAAAGGACAAAGGTAACAGAACCAGTCAGACAGCTCGAAGGGAGACTTCAACCCAGAGAATTGGTGGAAGTGCGTGCGCCGCCGCCGCTGCCGCCGCCGCCTCTCCTGCAGCGCTGTCGATTTAACCACTGGCATCTTCCCGAGCTCCGGGATCCCGGGGTAGCAGGCGCCGCCCCGGAGCAGAAGAGCCAAGCTGCGGCTTGCGCACCCGGCTCACCATGGGCTCCGCGCGCCGGGCGCTGTCCGTGGTACCGGCTGTTCTGCTGGTTCTCGCACTGCCTGGGCTGCCTGTCTGGGCACAGAATGACACTGAACCGATCGTGCTGGAGGGCAAGTGTCTGGTGGTGTGCGACTCGAACCCAGCCACAGACTCCAAGGGATCATCTTCTTCCCCTTTGGGGATATCGGTCCGGGCAGCAAACTCCAAGGTGGCCTTTTCGGCGGTTCGGAGCACCAACCATGAACCATCCGAGATGAGCAACAAGACACGCATCATTTACTTTGACCAGGTCAGACCCCCGAGGGATGCAAGGTGCCCGGTGCGTGGGTGGTCTCAGGGGAACTGCCTGCCCAGATTAAGCTAGTATGCTTAGGAAGGACGTGGCGAGATCATTTAAGCAGCCACCTCCCTGAAGATATCAGTCTGAAACTTGAGCTGCCGCCCTTCCCCAACAACCGCAGCCCCCATTCCTCCTTGGTGTCTGGCCGAGGCCAGGCCAGTGCAGTGGGGTGGTTTGGGAGCGCAGAGGCAGGCACCTGGAGATGAAGACAAGTTTAGCAGCAACAGGTCATCAGGGGCTGAGGGAACACTGTCCCTGGATGCTGCTATCTATTGGTAGAGAACTTGGCCCTCTGGCTCAGACTTAGCAGCAGGTGCCCTGGAGATGTTGTGACGGGCCCTAGAAGACAGCCGTAAACGTTTGAATTGTGTTTCCTGGTGGAAGCTCATCTCTCCAACGAGGACTCCACAAGATGCAGGGACCCTCCCAGGTGGAAGCAGAGGATTGGGGGTGGGGTTCTGGGGCCAAATATCACCTCCAGGGCTAGAAGCTGAGTTCACTATGCAGAGTCCAGGGTGGCTGGATCAGCACCACCCTGCCTGGTGTAGATCAAAAGCCCTTCTTGCTACTACTTAGAAAAGTTGTCCACACAGGAAGAAAGGGGATTGACTAATTGTAGCTTGGGTAGGTAAGTGCTGGGGAGCTGGGTTACCTTTCCTAGGCTTGGTTCGGTTTCTGCAGGGCATTGTAAGTTGCTGAGGAGACACAGAATTTGAGGTTGCGGGGATGGGGCTGAACTGATGAAGAGTGGCTCAGCGCTGCGTGGACTGGAGTGATGAGCAACCGCAGGTTATCGGTTTAGCAAAGCCTCCTAGGGCAGAAGCCCAACTCCAGCATTTTGTGTCCAACCCCAACAGTACCTGGAGACTGTCTAATTCTAAAGTCATAGTTCACAGCTGTATGCAGAGCCCAGTGGGCAGGTTAAGTGAGGCTGTGGGATGTGCCAGAAAAGACTTGGGTGACATTTGTGCTTCTTACTTAATTCTAAGTAATACACCTGCCAGCTGGTCAGGGACAGAAATGTCTCCCTAGAGGGTCAGTATGGGATAACTATAAATTTAAAAAAATGAATTAAGTAGTCCCTTTGGAGATTTTGGTGCAGCATTTAACAAAGTGATAGAAAGAAAGCATACCACCACCCCTGGTTGCTGTTTTAGTGCATTATCTAGATGTTGGAACCCTGTGGACACTGTGCTGTCTTTGTTTGGGCATTCTTTTCAATGACCTTCCCATCAATTAGAAGAGGAAAGGGATTTTTCTTTTGTTCAGGGAGTCATGCATCTTAGAGACAACAAGACACATTTAGTTATAAATCTTGATGTGCTTGGATGCTTCAATTACCCTGTGGAGTCCACATCCAGCTTCGTGTTTACTAATCAACACTAATCAGGCACCTCTATTTTGTTAATGAAGGATGCCTCTTGTATCTGAATCAGGAAGTCTTGGCTAAGCACCTTATATTATTTTGAATGTGCTGGGAAAAGATGTTTTTGTCAACATTTTGTCTAGGAATCTTTCACAGTTGGTGATGGTACTGTAGGAAGTCCGTCTGATCTCAGGTCAGAACAGAGAGCTGCTGCTTATGGGGAATAGGTTCAGATCTCAGTCAAATTGCACATATATTTGTATTTCAAGCAGGGCTGAGCCTGGTGCATTTACCTAAACATTCTAAGTATTCTGACATCCTGGTGTGCTGTGTAGAGGCAGTAGTGTGCTCTGAGGAAATGATGCAGGAAGTGTGAGTGTAGTAATTTCAACAAGATGACGTTTAAAAAAGATATCAACAGACTGATTCTGAAAAACGGAAAATACATCTTTAGAGACACATCTGACTTGTATGGATTTATTCCTTGGTGAGACATGAAAGAAAGCCTTCTTGTTTAGTTCTGGCTCTTATGCTCTCTCAGAAAGGGACTTACCTCTGAGACACTGAAATTTAACTGAGGACTCACTGAAATACCGAGTTAATGTCATAACCAGCCCACACATCGTGGGATATAAGGTGTGTTACGGCTTTCTTAGAAACAGTGCTTAACTTCACTTTTCACTTTTGACCCTTAAACTTCAAATGGACTTTAGGTGACTGATAGGATCAAACAAGACACTGAAAAACACAGAAAGGCCACTTAGTTTACTGTCTGCCGCATCCATGCCCTTCTCTTGGCATCCAGCCAGGGCTGACTCATCACCAATGTATCATGTTAAGGCTTAGATGGCAAATAAACAAAATGAATGGCCGTGGATTGAGGAGAGCCCTGGCAGAGGCTTGGGGATGAACCTGGCTTTCCCAGCTCTGTGGTAGCAACTGTTGGTGTCATGGATTACACCCCATGGTGGAGGAGGTACGCCTCTGTGAGGTGTCCAGGGATTGCTGCAGAGAGCCCATGGATGTCGATTGGCTGGCTGGATAACGTCACTTCTGGACATCGGGAAGGCTTATAGACTGTGGAGATATAACTGTGGCAGATGCCTTCCATCTGATCCTGTGTAAAGCTAATACAAACCTTCATATGTTGCTTTGATGACCCTAAAGACATCCGGCCTGGAAACTGAGGCATGAATACAACACTGTTGTTTTATTTTTATTTTTGCCTGTACTATTTAAAAGGTAGAAGAACCTTCCATTATGCACATCTGTTTCCCAAGTCACTTAAGAGGAAAGAAATAGGATTAGCTATTTTATTCTCTATTGTTTCTAAAGTTAGTTATTGAAAAAAAAAGAAAGGGAGGAGAGAAGAAGAGAGAGAGAATGAAGATATAAAGGAAAGAAGGAAAGGGGAGGGAGGGAGGAAGAAAGGGAAGGAAGGAAGGAGGGGAAGAAGAGGGAATTTGTTTTACTCGGTCAAAAACTATAATAATTTACCACTATTTACTGTTTTTATCTGTAGATCTTGGTTAATGTGGGCAATTTTTTCACATTGGAGTCTGTCTTTGTGGCACCGAGGAAAGGAATCTATAGCTTCAGTTTTCATGTAATTAAAGTCTACCAGAGCCAAACAATCCAGGTATGTGCTTCGACCTGCATGCTCTCTGCTCCTGCATTCAAGTATTCACTCAAAGATATGCTTGCATTAATTGTCCACCCTTTTCATTTATTTTCAAAACATTGAATTTGCATTTTTCCTTATAACATCCATTTGGGCATTGACAAAAGGCACATAGAAAAATAAGCAATTGAAGTTATTACTCTGATTATAACCTGATATAAAACAAAACAAAATAAAACACAGCTCAGCAAAATCTTTGACACAAATATCTACAGAAGATCTTGATTTTATCTCATTCCTAAACAAAAGTTATTCAAATTTGTAAGGAAAAATTATAAAACTTTACGAATGGGTGTTAAATAAACAAAACAAGCTTGCTATCATTTAAAAAAATGAGATAAACTATTGAAACAACAACAATAACAAAACACAGCTTGGCAAAACCTTCATGACACAAATCTCTACAGACGATCTTGATTTTATCTCATGCCTGAACAAAAGTTATACAAACTTACAAGGAAAATAAATCTTATAAAAATGTACAAATAGACATTAAATGAACAAAGCAGATTTAGTAAATTTAAAAACCATGAGATACAATTATCCATTGAAACCAAGCTACCAGGGAATGGCTGATACTTTTGAGAAAGGATGCACCTAGCGCATCATGCTACAGTTTAGTTTTGGTCCTCCTGTCCCAGGAACTTCTTCCCAGTTGCAGTTGCGTGGTTAGTGATGGGTCTTGTGTTGTGCTTGTTCAGACAAGCTTGGTCTTACACACTAGAGAAGATACAGAGATATTTATTGTAGTATTAAAATAAATCAATAGTAAACAATGATACGTGTCTATGGAATTCTAAGATATATTGAATGTTTAGCATTTGTATTACACTTTGTGTCTCTGTGGTTAATAGATAGCATGGTCATCTGTCACTTTTTTATATCCCAGTGACTTGATCAGTTGACCAACTTTAGATTGAATCTCTTCCATATTAATTTTAACCTAGAAAAAGAGAGTGTGTAAAGATCACATCTATAGCTAGAGTTTTCCTGCCTTGCCCACAGTCAGGACAAATCTCTGTCACCCCCCAGTCCCACAGCTGCTCAGACGCAACCAAGTAAACACAGAGACTTATATTGCTTACAAACTGTATGGCCGTGGCAGGCTTCTTGCTAACTGTTCTTATAGCTTAAATTAATCCATTTACATAAATCTATACCTTGCCACGTGGCTCGTGGCTTACCAGCGCCTTCACATGCTGCTTGTCATGGTGGTAGCTGGCAGTGTCTCCCTCACTCAGCCTTCCACTTCCCAGAATTTTCCTCCCTCCTTGTCCCGCCTATACTTCCTGCCTGGCCACTGGCCAATCAGTGTTTTATTTATTAACATATTTGCCATACAGAACATCCCACAGCACACATCTGCTTCCCTGGAAACTCTGACATTTCAAATGACTTTTGTTGTCGCTCAAATTTCAGAAAAGGAGATACCTACTCAAATGCTGGCAGAATCTGGCTATGTCTGACTTTGTCAGGTCCCAACATTGGGAAGCCCCCTCTCCTCTTTATTACCAAAAAGTTGATGCTGAGTATGTGAGGTCAGTACAGTAGTTAGCTTTGTTTACAGGCTGAAGGAAAGCCAGTTTTCACATGACTAGGTGGCTGTTTGGATGGCATTATTTTTGTGGGTACTTAAGGAAATTTCCATAGTAACACACACACACACACACACACACACACACACACACACACACACACACACACAAAATATACACACAATACACACATACATTAAATCTGACCCCACGTATGTCCAGTTTGAAGGGAAAGGAGACTATTTCCTGAGTAACAAATGTTTGACCATTTCCTAGCACATGTTTTGATTTTAAAGGGAGCTGGTCATCTTTCTCCTTCCAGGTGAACTTAATGTTAAATGGAAAACCGGTCATATCTGCATTTGCTGGGGATAAAGATGTGACCCGAGAAGCCGCCACTAATGGAGTGCTACTGTACCTGGACAAAGAAGATAAGGTTTACCTAAAACTAGAGAAAGGTAACTTGCTTGGTGGCTGGCAGTATTCCACGTTTTCTGGTTTTCTGGTGTTCCCTCTATAGAACTCAACTTCTCCGTGATGCCCATGAGTGAGAGCACCCACCCCTGGCTTCTCAGAAGACCACTTTTCACCCTTGGATTGATGTCTCTTATTGTTTTGTTCGTGAGTGACTATGGATTCTCTTTAAGAATTCTAGACCTGTCTGGACAAATGCAAAGTGTCACAGATTATTTTCATGTGTGTGCCAGTTTCCTCACGTGTGAATCAGGACTCCAAAGCTGGAAATCCCTAAATCTGCTTACAAGTTAACAGTCAGAAGCTGTCTCAAGGTTCGTCTGCTTAGTTTCCTGATGTTACTGCATTGTGTTTTTCATTTCTTTGTTTTTGAAAGACCAGCAAGTAGGTCTGAAAGTTAGAAAACTTGGAAGTTCTGACTTCAGTGGTGATTATGGGACTGCCAAAGACTCGTATATTGTGTGGATACAACGATTACACTTGTTTTCTTTTTATTACAATTACTTTGGAATTGGTTCGTTTTGTTCTCTTAAGGTAACTGGGATTGTACTTTAGTGACTGGCATAGTGTTTTCTCTACCTATAAGGTAACAAATGGCTTGCCTCAAAATGTACCTTAACTCTGAGCTCACCTACATGACCTCCCTCCTGCTCCCTAAAATGTACCTTAACTCCGAGCTCACCTACATGACCTCCCTCCTGCTCCCTAAAATGAATGCTCCATAGTTGTATTTTAATTATATATGTGAAAGAGTCATATTTTCCAAATTATATTTTCTAATAGGAAAAATAGATCATAATCTGACAAATACAAAGTTACTTACCCCAATTCTAAGTGTTCAGTCCCCAAACCTTGGCAAAATAGCTCTCCTTGGTAGAAAATCTTACACTTTATTGCTCAACTTTAATTAACGTGATTGATAATAACCACTTTATTAAAACCATAGGGCATTATTTTCCCCTTCAACATGACCACTTTATTAACTGGAGATGGTATGCCCTTGTTTTTAATTATATCTATTTTTCAAATCTCCTGTTGTGTTTGAAATATCATCTGGTTTTGCCTTAATTCCTTAACTTGTATATATATATATATTTATCTGTTCAGCTAATATTAAATCCAGATACTCCATAACAAAATTTAGTGCAATATCTTATTTCGTTTTTTGTATAGGTCATATGAATTCATAAAATGATTTATGTCTCTGTTGCAGAATAAAGATTATTACATGTTAGTGGGATGGTTGGTTGGTTCCTTTCGGTTCTGGGAATGTGTCTTCTATGTAGTTTGTCCATTTTCCACTATCTTCCCCCTTCCTGGGTCCTCCCCCCAACTTCCTTCCTTTTTCCCTTCCCTCTCTTCTTCTAGTTTCTCCCTGAAGTTAAAAACAAAAACAAAAACCTTTCCTGAGTTTTCAGGTAATGTTCTTTGAGTTGATATAGGAAATCTTTACTGTATTTAATCTGTCCAAATCTAGGAGTTGCAAGTTTGCCAAAAGGGAATTGATGAATTTAGGAAACTCTCCCTTCACAAGGACTTGTGAGGAAAATGAAGTTAAAAAGATGTCTTGAAATATCACGAGGAAATATCCAGGGATGAGTGAGTGGTGGCCAGTATCAAGGCTGCTATCTCCAGAGGACTTCAGCCCACAGTACTCCTCCTCAAAGGGGGAGACAAAATTTCTATGACTCTGGGGGTAGTGGTGGCTCCACTCCAGGTCTGTGGCCCTGCTGCTGGCAAGGGTCCTCTGGTAGCTGGAACCAGAGGAACATGCTACAAAGAGACTCACACGGGTACAACTTCCAGAGTCTGTGATTAATTTCCAAGTTAGGATGTTCAGTCAGCTCCAAAAAGACATCTCTTTTTCCTAGAGAGAGCTCTTTGCAGATACTGGTGACAATCCCTGATGCAGGTTGTCCCCTGCTGGTTTTCAGTTAATAGCCCTGATTTTATAATTTTGAAAAAAAAACCCCAAAACAACAAACTCATATTGCACACAGAGAGAGAGAGAGCAAGGGCAGTGTTCATCCACAGGCCAGTGGAACCCTCTAACCATGCACCACTCTGCCTAGCAGATACTTTCACCCCATCTATGCATACTGAGTCTGCAACTGGCCATCACAGCAGGAGAATCATAAGTGAATAGATCTGTTAGTCATTATTTTGGCAACATGAGTCAAGAGTATCAAAGTGACCAGTCGACACCTGTGGCAGGATGGAGCAAGTTAGGCTGTTATTAAAATAGGTCAGTGTATCAACATGTTTCACAAATGGACTTGTAGCCATCTTTGAGGGCTTGTCCTTATCTTTCTTGATTCTTCTGAACATAAAAATACATTGGTGAAGCTCTGAGCTTTAACTCCCAAGTTCTAACATGTGCCTCTTAGGATGCAGAATCCATTGTGTATTGGGGGATGATGTGAGACCGCGGCTATCAGGTGTAGAGGTCTGTGATGCTGGAGCCCAAGTGTAGAGGTCAGGCCAGGATGAGAGCCATTGAGGCTCATCTCAACTAGGTTCTAGGAGGTGGAGAGCTATCACAAACTCATTGTTCAGAATGTAAAAATGGCATAAAAGAGCGAAAGTCAGAGGTGGGATGACTTAGTCAGAAAAAGCACTGACTTTGGGTAGATACAGGGTGTAGTCCTGTAACCTCCATTTGCTATTCCTGTCACTCTTGTCTCTCTGAGCTTGAATTACTTTATTTGCAAAGAAGTAGTTGGCTGCAGTCAGCTGTGAGGACGCAGTAAGACACAGGAAAGGCTTGGGGCACAGCGGGAGCTGGGATCTCTAGCCTGACCACTGAATCTTGTGATCCCCATCATTTAAGGCCTTTAAATGGGCAGAATAACAAGGAAACCTGTGGAGAGTATAAGATCCTCACTAGGAAGAGGGAAGGAGGGAGGTATAAAGACTGGTACAAGGAAGAGGGGAGGCAGAGTTGGGTTGAAGAACAGAAGTGGTGTTGTCACAAACATTTCCACAAATGGCGCCAGGTGCTCTCTGCTTATTCTATAACTTGAAAAATTGTTTTTAGGAATTGATGTGAACAAAAATGCACACTAATAGAGCCCTGTGTTTGCATGGGCCCCTCAGCACTCTCAGCATGAGCCCCATTTCCTCCTAGAGGGTTCCTATCTCCTGTTCCCGATCAAATGCAAACCATTGTCTGCAGCCAGCAATTTCCTCCTCAAAGAAACTCAAGGAAACTAAGCTGAAGGATTAAGCAGCTGTGCAGGGAATCTTCCTGATTCCAGGTGCTTTGGGGGAGCTGCCCATGGCCCAGGATAGACTCCACTGATCTAATTACATTAAAAAATTAAATTTATTATTATTATTACTTAAGTTTGCTCTCCTCTTCCCTTTGATTTTTAGTGATATTTTCTTGTATTCATTTAGCCTCTAGTCTCTACTTTTCTAGCAAATTATTGCTTTAAATTGTGTGTGTGTGTGCATGTTTATCATGTGTGCTCACCTGTGTGTGCATGTTTCTCATATGTGTTCACCTGTGTGTGCATGTTTGTCATGTGTGCTCACCTGTGTGTGCATATTTATCATGTGTGCTCACCTGTGTGTGCATATTTATCATGTGTGTACACCTGTGTGTGCATGTTTGTGAAGGTCAGAGGTCAACATCAGGTGTCTTCTTTAATCGCTTTGACCTTATTTTTGAGACACAGTCTCTCACTGAACCTGGGGCTTACCAGTAGGCTAGCCTAGTTGTCCATCGAGTCCCAGTGAACTTCCTGGCTCCACCTCCCCGCACTGGGGTTATACATGCATGCCACCACACCTGGCATTTTAGTTTGGTCCTCATGCTTGTGTGGTATGCACTACCCACTGAGCAATATTCCCACCCCCCATTTTAGGTTTTGAAACAATCATTGTCAGCTAACATGGATGAAATTATCCTCACAATGGATTGTGTGCTGCAAGATCCCCAGGTTGTGGCGTGAGTGACATCCCTCTTTCCCTGCTTTTCTAGATTTGTCACTTGAAGCCACAGTGATCTGTAGGTGTGGTCCCGCCTTGCATCCCATCGAGGGCCCTACGCTTCACTGACCCACCTGTACTGTATGAACCACCTGTCTCTTTAGCTGCAGTGTCCATTGGGCTTAGCAAGGCCCACATATCAGTTGATCTAGTGGCTACCAGAAGTGTTGGGAACAGAGATCTGTGGCACATTGGTCCTCACCCAAAGTCTTGGCTCAATTCTGATCCCTAGTGACTCTTCAGTAGAGGAGGCAAGGGGAGGATTGAATAAGTTGGCATCTAGCTAGGTGGATTTTATTCTCTTCCCAATACAGGTCAGCTTTTAGTGTGGCTTTCAAGTTTAAATTTGCTTATGTGCATGCATGCATATACGCACATGCATGCATGTGTGCACGCACACACACACACACACACACACACACACACAGAGTCTTTCTACCCACTACCTTTCTGAGAGGCAATAACAGCCCTGTGATCTTGATCCTAAACTCTTTCATCAACTTTTCAAGCTGACACATATAAGAATCATCTGGGGACCTTGGTCAGATGTTGACTTTGATGGGGTAGATCTGGGAGGGGCTTGTGCTTTCTCACCTGTAACAGGTGCTCCCTGCATTTTCAGCTGCTGCTGTTGGCTTGGGTGCCACAGGGGAAGGACTTCCAATGTCATTTCTACAGCCTAGTTACTCATAATATATTCTACCTACTACAGCTCATACAACCTCTGGGGCTTGCTAGAAACCCTGATGGTGGGGCCAACACTCAACCCAGACCTACCCAGTTGCAATCTGCATTTTAACAAGGGTCTCTGTCCTTGTCGAGAGGTTTGGTTTCATAGATTTATTCATTTTATTTTAAGTGTGTGGGTGTCTGCATGTATGTCTGTGCACAGTGTGCATGCAGTTCATTCAGAGGTCAGAAGAGGGCATCAGATCCCCTGGAACTGTAGTTACAGACGGTGCTGGGAATTGAACCTGGATCCTCTAGAAGAGCAGGAAGTGCCCTTAACTTCTGTTCTACCTCTCCAGCCCCATGTGAGGGGTTTTAAGCACCGCCAAGTCTTAGAAGTCCTGTTTTAAGGGAGACTGCCTACATTGGGAGTATATGGGACATCAGGCAGCCTCAGTCTAACAAAATCCACACAGGTTCAGGGTTTTTTCTTTGCGGTGACACAGGCATATGAGTCTACATGTGACTCAACGTGTTGTGACTGCTTTGATCTCTGTGAGCAGTGGTGCTCACTCAGGTCCAGGCTTCCAGGAGGATCAGTCTGGCACCTCATGCTGTGAGGGAGGAGAGCCAGGGGACCATCTGGAACACAGCAAGCAAGGATTGAAGGTCGGCGATGAGTGGAGGAAAGATGCTGGACTACTGGGCTGAAGACAAAGGTAAGTCATCCACAATACGTGACATCTGGGAATGAAAGAAAGCCCTTGAGGAACCTTTTCCCCACACCAGCGTTTGTTGTGAAGCAGGGGGTCGGGTGGGGGGTGGGGGGTGGGGGGGTGGAGGACTGCAGCTTGCTTTCCTCTGTAAACAAAGTGCTCCTGTCCTGGAGTGGCAGCGCCTCTCTCTGTGTGAGGATAGTTTTTTTTTCTCTCCAGCCCATCTGTCTCTAATGCTTCTCTGTTTTTGTCATATTTAAGCTTTGCTGTCAAAGCATAATCAATAACAGACAGAAAATACAGAGAAATTAGTGTGGCGTGGGCAACTATTTCTACGTTCTTTTTTCCCCTTATCTTCATGACAAGTGCGTGTGTATACACACACATACACACACACACAGACACACACACACACACACACACACACACACGCACACACGAATGGCTTGACCTGGCAGGGAGTCGTTTCATAGTAGTTTTCTTTCATAGCTTTCATATAGAAAAAAAGAATGAAATCCTCCGAGAAGCAGTGGTTGGGCCAGTGTTGAGGTGGGAGTACAGGCAGGGCCATCACCCAGTAACTAACAAACAGGCTGTGCTTTTTGTGGGAATGACTGCCAGGCCACGGAATAGTACTTTGTATTACTATGTCACTATATGACCAGGAGGGTTGTTGCCAAGCAGTTGGAGGATCACCTTTACAGTGGGTTACAGGTCACAAAATGACTCCAGGCTCTGAGTTACACACACACAAAAAATAATCCTGTTCTGTCTATGTGTGTATAGGATGGTGGTGGTGGTGGAGGTGTACATGTGGTGGATATGTGTAGATGCATGTGTGTCTGTGAGGGGATAG